GAAAATGCATTAGATGTGCAGCTTAAGCATAGCTTCCACGCTGAGCTGTCTCCTTGTCCTTCGAGACTTGGGTTGACTGGGTGCGATCGTCCTCGCGATATTCCTTGCCCGTTTCCTTAGCAGCGTCCCCAGACTCCTTGAGCTACAAGTTGGTTAGCTATAACGAATGTACAGTACGTCTTACAACAGTCTTACCGATTCTTGAACGTCCGCAGCCTTTTCCTTTAAAGTTTCTTTCGCCTGATGGAGCTTGTCTTTCATCGTGTCACGAGCATCAGTTGCTTTCTCCTTCGCAGACTGATAATACTCCGACCCCTTGTCCTGCGCTTGCTCGCCCTTCTCCTTCATCTTCTCACGCGCATCAGCCGCCTTGTCCTTGGCAGACTGATAGTACTGCGACCCCTTGTCCTGCGCTTGCTCGCCCTTCTCCTTCATCTTCTCACGCGCATCAGCCGCCTTGTCCTTGGCAGACTGATAGTACTGCGACCCCTTGTCCTGCGCTTGCTCGCTCTTCTCTTTCATTTTCTCACGAGCGTCAGACGCCTTGTCCTTGGAAGACTCGTAATACTCCGACCCCTTGTCTTCAGCATGTCGCCCTTTCTCCTTGATTGTGTCGGCAGGTGACGCTTGGCCTTGGTATGTCCCCTTCGACGTATGGGTCGGCATCGTTTCGTCGCTGCCCTCGTATCTGGTTGTGGACTCAGTCGCTGTCTTATCGTCGTGGCCACCGAAGGTACTTTTGACCTATACATATGCGATGAGCCTGTGAAGAAGAAAAAGGCGCCATCACCTTATCCATCCCCGACTGGACCTTCTCCTTCATCTTGTCCATCATTCCTTGTTGGTGCGCCATCCTATTTTGGAAAATGGTCGTCGCGACACTCGTCCCAGTCTTGTAAGACAAAAAATTTCAACGGTCGGGAGATCAACGGTATTTCGCAAATTGACAGGTACAGTAAAAAGAAAACTATCTTCTGCAATAAAAAGCTATTTGAAGCTTGTCTGCACTGTGGGTCAATTATCTCAAGCGATCTCCTCCATAACAAATGTGTGTTTGATTCATTGATAACGAGAACTCACGCACGGCGTATCGACTGTAAGGACTTACTTTGGATAATCTTACTTCATAACCATCTGATGATGAAAGAAGCTCCAGTATTTAAACTTGCAGGGAGATGCGGGAACTCGACGAAAACTCATAACACGAAGTCACGTAAGGTCAAAATCGATGGATGGCGAAAGCAAATTCTGGAGTTTCTTCGGTGTCATCCAACTGTTAGGGAAAGACATTGGCTGCTGTGCTGACACACTTTCTATCGCTCGCTGCAAGTGTACAGTAGTGCTTGCATATTCAGAAAATTCGCGCCGTTTCACATTGAAAACTGAGCAGTTCCGGATACTGCATTACATTTGCGGATGATATATTTTTATTGCGCATGTGCACGTTTTGTGGTACTGTATGATGCACGTCATCTAAAAACTTCCAACTGGCCAAATCGAAGAGTGGAGGTTTTATTATTTAACGTACAATTAATATAGTTAAACCCAAAAACCAAAACGTTAAATACCGAATTTATGCGTTTTATCACTGCAGTGGGTACTAACTACTTCATAGTACTACTGCTAAGCAAAGCAACGAGCTTAGGGTTAGGTCGCTTACTAACCAAACCCTATCAATAATGGCTGCCGTATCCGCATCATAAACTGGATTCTTCTTACAGTTAGATGTGACCGTTCCAGAATCGCCTGATGTCTCAGATTCCATCGTGGACTCTAACTGTAACATGCTGTATATTGTCCAACGACCTAAAACAGTTGAGTTATGCGTCTCCGACTGCAGTATATCACATTTTACCATGGCGGATCAACACGAAGGAAGCGACAAGAGCATGCTCGAAAAGATCAAAGACCAGGTAACCATGCCTAGAAATACAATCACCATCCAAGCTTTAACTGTACTGGACGTGAATAGTTCAAGAGCAGTTCGAAAGACAAGGACGATGACGATTCCCCAAAGAACACAAAAAGCAGCTCGGAGGGCAAATGCGAATCGGTTGAATTCTATGCCAAGCCGACTGGATACGGAAGCCATCCCACGTATGCTGCAGCGACAAAGGGCGGGCTGAAGGACCAAGAGCCCGTGCTTATGACAGACGAAGGACAGGCGAAGCATCCGTCGGCGCAATTCCAGTCTGTGAAGGGGAACCCCGGAGGCATTCCAGCTACGGTGAGCAACAGGAAAAGTGTTGGGGACTAGCTCGCTTAGTATGTCTATGAACGCGTGTAGGGATTTGGCGAGACCTCTCAAGGTGGAGACTTTTATGAGCGCAACCTGGGCGAAACGGAAGCGCACAAATCCCGTGTCCCTGCGAAACAACGCATTTACGGATACGGAAACAATGCTTAAGCGCATGGCGGCTAATTTACGTGGGATTTATTAACTTTACGATGTTGGTGCTTGCACCGATATTCGGCACTGGGTCGCATGGGCTGTACTTCAAGACACATACTTCTCCAAACATAACCAAGACGAAGTATACCACAGTACTAACGTTAGTAGCATGTTTAGCTGTCAGTTCGTGATAAGTAGGGTTACAGCTAAAAATGCTACTTTAATTGCCCGACCAGAAATAATGTTGTATCATCATACCTTGTTGAAAAATATATTGTCGTACCTGTTAAACATGATATTGAACTTTCCATATTATAGGGGTGAATCAATACCAACAGCTTACTGTACACCTCGCCAGGTCACAACTTTACCATATGGTAAAAGCACCCCCTTTTTTTAAATGCAGTAAACATAACAGGTCTTATTTGAAATACAAAATATCCAAATAGTTAATTATTAAAAACCATCATTCCCAAGTGACAAACATTCAGCATGCGGGGATATACTGTAGATGTTATCCACTCAAAGTACAGGATGAAGCCCTAGGCGCTGTCCTTCTTGTGGTCCAATCGGAACAGTGACATTAAACGTTGGGCCGACGGACGACATTCAATTTTGTAACGTTACTTTACTTCCATATTAATGATCAGTCATTTCCCCCCCTCCTCAAACTCGGGCAATTAAAGTGAGGCGGATGAAGTATTGGTTATGTTTGCAGAAGTATATGTAGGGTTCGAGCATCTGCACCAGTACCACCAGTTCTCAGATCCCAATAATTTACTGGAATTCCGAAAAAATCGTTCGCACCGGTACCAATAACCAGTGCAGATGCTCTTACAGATAATTGTGTATGACATGGACTGTGCCGAAGTCCGAAACACCATACCGTAAACCACAAAAAAACCAAAAGCTACCAATAATGTGTGTAGCCCTCGAGAACACACCGCAAAACTCAATGTACATATGCGCGAGAACTCCCAACTGTCTTGAAAATTACGCAATAATAGAATCAGCAATGTTGCTTATACAGTAGTGTTGCTACTAATGTCACTTCCCAAACGTTGCATCGCTGGACTTCGACGAGCCACGCTAAGGAACATCCTTTTTCACTCTCGTCACATGTCCGCGTTCCTTGACCTAACCACACAGACGACGTTAGACCATATCCCGTTCAGGTGAGGTCCTCACTGCAGCAATCGTGTCCGCACTTCGGCTTTTAACGACCTTTTCTGGGTTTTCAACCCTCGACAACTTGCGGTCGTCCGTTTCTTCGCCTTCCCCCAAGTACGACGTCGTCTTGCCTTGAAGGTGATCAGCCTTCTCCTTCACCACATCTTTCGCTCCGATAGCCTTTTCCTTGACCGTCGAGGCTGCGTCCTTTATAGCGTCATAACCCTTTGACGCCTTCTCTTGGACAGTCGCGGTTGCGTCCATCACCGTGGTTGTGGCGCCATATACCTTCTCCCTGGCCGCTTCGTAGACGTGCGACGTCGTATCTTTCACCGCCTCGGCCTTGTCTTTCGCTGACTGATAATAGCGCGATGCATTGTCTTGAGCGATCGCGACATCTTCTTTCGCAACATTTAACAGGTGTGACGCTTTGTCCTTAGCCGCAACAGCTGCCCCCTTGACTGAATCAGCGTACTCTGATACCGTCGACTTCGCAGCCCCTGCTTTCGCTTTGGCCGAGCCGTACACCTCCGCTACAGTGTCTTTTGCAGCGACGACGCTTTCCTTGACACC